CATCAACTGCTGCCTCTCAGGGTCTCCATCAGCAGGAAGCTGGAACTGGGGGTCAAGCCAGAACTGAAACCCAGGCTGTCTGATAGGAGATGCGAGCATCCCACAACTACACCAATGTCTGTTCCTGGAATCTTGACCATTAAGAACATTCCTGTGGTATCTGTGTAAGGTAGTCAGCATCATTATCACTATCCTTTGCTGTGTGAGCACTGTTTAACTGGAGAAACATGGTTTGCAAATATTTAACTGGAGAAACATCTTACTATGGAGGTTATGAATATGAACTTTGCAGTTAAATGTGCATTCAAATTCCAATGCTAGCGTTTATCACTGCTGTGGAAACTTACCGGTTCTTATGTGCAGAGGTTTCTTTGTACATAAAAAGAGGACAGTAGTATCTTTTTTGTAAAATGATTGTGAGGTTAATTGACATAAGCTATGTAAGCATATGTAATACATGCAAATCATGTGGGGTTTTCTAATTAGTTCTCATTTTATTACTGTGTGCCAGGTACTTCCCTCTCCACTAAATGTTTCAAAATCTGACTGAGGTCATCAGCTGAGTTGCTGGCACTCAAACCGGTTCTTTCAGACTCAAAAGCTGTGTGCTTGCTAATACATCACTCTACGCTGACTGACAGTTGCTTCTGTCTCAGCAGAATGACTGGGCAGCTGCTGATGGTGACTGTTCATTCCAGTCTCTCACGGGGCTTCTCTGAAGATGTTCTCCCAGAAGCCTCCCTGTGTTCATTTTCTGAAAGTCTGTGCTCATTTTGGTTCATGCTGGTTAGTGTTGTGCTCCAACTTAGCCTAAATTCTTAGCCTACAAACCTGATTTCTGCTCTGAGAAAAAGTACCATATTACTATAAAGGGAATTTATGTTAGTTTTTGTTCAATGGAAGCATAAAGGTGGTGTTCATTCCTTAGGAAAGAAAAAGTGAATTTGAGAATTGTATGCAGGTCTTTTTCAGGCTAAATGTTCAGAGAAAGGAGATACTGCTATACATTTTACCAAGAGAACCACCAAGGAACATCTGCTGTAGTACTCAAATTGTTGCCATTTCAATCCTGTCACCGTTGTCACCACCATTTATCCAGTAGTTCCAGTCCTTGAAGTGTTAAATCAGTTGTGCGTTATGTCTGAAGTAAGTTGTTGCCAAAATGGAGTAGTCACACTTTCAAATGATCCACTTTTTACAAGAAATTTATTTTTTAGAGGGTGGGTGTTTGGTCTGGCTATGCCCATATTAGAGTTGGTGTTTCAAGTCCCAGCTCCTGAGCTTCAGATCCAGTTCCTTTTTTATTACACTCAGTTGTTGTGTCCCAAAATGCAGCCTACTTTACTTTATGAGATATCATTTTTCATCTTACAGGGATATGGTATAAAGGTAATTTTGCAAAGTTCTTACCTAGTAAAGCTGCCTGACTGTATCCAGTGTTACTATGACATACTTACTCATAAGTTAACATTTCAGAAAAGAGTGACATTAACAAACATGATACAAATGGAAACAAACTGCTTTTTGGAGGCTGTTTAATTAATGATTCTTGTTTACTTGTTTTTTACTTTATTTTATTTCTTTTTTAACTTTTATTTAATAAATATAAATTTCCAAAGTACAACTTTTGGATTATAGTGACTTTCCCCTACCCATAACCACCCTCCCACCCGCAACCATCCCATCTCCCACTCCATCTCCCATTCCATTCACATCAAGATTCATTTTCAATTATCTTTATATATAGAAGATAAATTTAGCATATATTAAGTAAAGATTTCAACAGTTTGCACCCACACAGAAACACAAAGTGTAAAATACTGTTTGAGTACTAGTTATACCAGCGATTCACATAGTACAACACATTAAGGATAAAGATCCTACATGAGGAGTAAATGCACAGTGACTCCTGTTGTGAATTGAACAATTGACACTCTTATTTATGATGTCAATAATCACCCAAGGCTCTTGTCTGAGTTGCCAAGACTAAGGAAGCCTCTTGAGTTTGCCAACTCTGATCTGATTTAGACAAGGTCATAGTCAGAGTGGAAGTTCTCTCCTCCCTTCAGAGAAAGATACTTCCTTTCTTGATGGCCCGTTCTTTCTATGGGATCTCACTCACAGAGATCTTTCATTTAGGGTATTTTTTTTTTTTTTGCCACAGTGCCTTGGCTTACCATGCCTGAAATACTCTCATGGGCTTTTTAGCCAGATCTGAATACCATAAGGGCTGATTCTGAGGCCAGAGTGCTGTTTAGGACATCTGGCATTCTATGAGTCTACTGTGTATCCCACTTCCCATGTTGGATTGTTCTTTTTTAATTCTTTTTTTATTTTTTATTTAGTAAATGTAAAATTTCCAAAGTACAGTTAATGGATTACATTGGCTTTGCCCCCCCCCCACAATTTCCCTCCCACCCCTCCCATCTCCCGCTCCCTCTCCCATTCCATTCACATCAAGATTCATTTTCAATTATTTTATCTTTATATACAGAAGATCAATTTAGTATATATTTTTTATTTTTATTTTTATTTTTTTTTTTTGGACAGGCAGAGTGGACAGTGAGAGAGACAGAGAGAGAAAGGTCTTCCTTTTGCCGTTGGTTCACCCTCCAATGGCCGCCGCTGCAGCCGGCGCACCGCACTGATCCGATGGCAGGAGCCAGGAGCCAGGTGCTTTTTTTCCTGGTCTCCCATGGGGTGCAGGGCCCAAGCACCTGGGCCATCCTCCACTGCACTCCCTGGCCATAGCAGAGAGCTGGCCTGGAAGAGGGGCAACCGGGACAGAATCCGGCGCCCCAACCGGGACTAGAACCCGGTGTGCCGGCGCCGCAAGGTGGAGGATTAGCCTAGTGAGCCACGGCGCCGGCTCAATTTAGTATATATTAAGTAAAGATTTCACCAGTTTGCACCCACACAAAAACACAAAGTGTAAAATACTGTTTTAGTACTAGTTATAGCATTACTTCACATTGACAACACACTAAGGACAGAGATCCTACATGAGGAGTAAGTGCACAGTGACTCCTGTTGTTGACTTAACAATTTGACGCTCTTGTTTATGGCGTCAGTAATCTCCCTAGGCTCTAGTCATGAGTTGCCAAGGCTATGGAAGCCTTTTGAGTTTGCCGACTTTGATCTTATTCCGACAGGGTCATAGTCAAAGTGGAGGTTCTCTCCTCCCTTCAGAGAAAGGCACCTCCTTCTTTGATGGAGCCCCATTCTTTCCACTGGGATCTCACTCAAAGGGATCTTTCATTTAGGTCTTCTTTTTTTTTTCCCCCAGGGTGTCTTGGCTTTCCATGCCTAAAATACTCTGATGGACTCTTCAGCCATATCTGAATGCCTTAAGGGCTGATTCTGAGGCCAGAGTGCTATTTAGGACATCTGCCATTCTATGAGTCTGCTGTGTATCCCGCTTCCCATGATGGATCATTCTCTCCCTTTTTTATTCTATCAGTTAGTATTAACAGACACTAGTCTTGTTTGTGTGATCCCTTTGACTCTTAGACCTATCAGTGTGATCAATTATGAACTGAAATTGATCACTTGGACTAGTGAGATGGCATTGGTACGTGCCACCTTGATGGGATTGTATTGGGATCCCCTGGCATGGTTCTAACTCCACCATTTGGGGCAAGTCCGATGGAGCATGTCCCAAATTGTACATCTCCTCCCTCTCTTATTCCAACTGTTATATTTAACAGGGATCACTTTTCAGTTAAAATATAAACACCTAAGAATAATTGTGTGTTAATTACAAGTTCAACCATTAGTATTAGAACAAAACAAAGAGAAAATACTAAAATGGATAAAGTATTACATTGTACATCAACAGTCAGGACAAGAGCTGATCAAGTCACTGTTTCTCATAGTGTCCATTTCACTTCAACAGGTTTCCCCTTTGCTGCTCAGTTAGTTGTCGCTGATCAGGGAGAACATATGATATTTGTCCCTTTGGGACTGGCTTAATTCACTCAGCATGTTTTCCAGATTCCTCCATCTTGTTTCAAATGACCGGGTTTCGTTGTTTTTGACTGCTATATAGTATTCTATAGAGTACATGTCCCATAATTTCTTTATCCAGTCTACTGTTGATGGGCATTTGGGTTGGTTCCAGGTCTTAGCTATTGTGAATTGAGCTGCAATAAACATTAATGTGCAGACAGCTTTTTTGTTTGCCAATTTAATTTCCTCTGGGTAAATTCCAAGGAGTGGGATGGCTGGGTTGAATGGTAGGGTTATATTCAGGTTTCTGAGGAATCTCCAGACTGACTTCCATAGTGGCTTAACCAGTTTGCATTCCCACCAACAGTGGGTTAGTGTCCCTATTTCCCCACATCCTCTCCAGCATCTATTGTTGGTAGATTTATAAATGTGAGCCATTCTAACCGGGGTGAGGTGAAACCTCATTGTGGTTTTGATTTGCATTTCCCTGATTGCTAGTGATAGTGAACATTATTTTCATGTGCCTGTTGGCCATTTGGATTTCCTCTTTGAAAAATGTCTATTGAGGTCCTTGGCCCATCTCTTAAGTGGGTTGTTTGTTTTGATGTTGTGGAGTTTCTTGATTTCTTTGTAGATTCTGGTTATTAACCCTTTATCTGTTGCATAGTTTGCAAATATTTTTTCCCATTCTGTCGGTTGCCTCTTCACTTTCCTGACTGTTTCTTTTGCAGTACAGAAACTTCTCAATTTGATGCAATCCCAAATGTTAATTTTGGCTTTAACTGCCTGTGCTTCTGGGGTATTTTCCAAGAAGTCTTTGCCAGTACCTATATTTTGCAGGGTTTTTCCAGTGCTCTCTAATAATTTGATGGAAGCATTTCCACTGAGATCTGGTACCAGACAGGGATGCCCACTCTCACCACTGCTATTCAATATAGTTCTGGAAGTTTTAGCCAGAGCTATTAGGCAAGAAAAAGAAATTAAAGGGGTACAAATTGGGAAGGAAGACCTCAAACTATTCCTCTTTGCAGATCATATGATTCTGTATTTAGGGGATCCAACGAACTCTACTAAGAGACTATTGGAACTCATAGAAGAGTTTGGCAAAGTAGCTGGATATAAAATCAATGCACAAAAATCAACAGGCTTTGTATACACAGGCAATGCCACGGCTGAGGAAGAACTTCTAAGATCAATCCCATTCACAATAGCTACAAAAACAATCAAATACCTTGGAATAAACTTAACCGAGCACGTTAAGGATCTCTACGATGAAAATTACAAAACCTTAAAGAAAGAAATAGAAGAGGATACCAAAAATGGAAAAATCTTCCATGCTCATGAATTGGAAGAATCAGTATCATCAAAATGTCCATTCTCCCAAAAGCAATTTACAAATTCAGTGCAATCCCAATCAAAATACTGAATACATTCTTCTCAGATTTGGAAAAAATGATGCTGAAATTCATATGGCGACACAGGAGACCTCGAATAGCTAAAGCAATCTTGTACAACACAAACAAAGCTGGAGGCATCACAATACCAGATTTCAGGACATACTACAGGGCAGTTGTTATCAAAACAGCATGGTACTGGTACAGAAACAGATGGATAGACCAATGGAACAGAATCGAAACACCAGAAATCAATCCAAACATCTACAGCCAACTTATATTTGATCAAGGATCTAAAACCAATTCCTGGAGTAAGGACAGTCTATTCAATAAATGGTGCTGTTTACTTGTTTCTAGAACACAAATCAACTTCACAGTGGCTGTTGACTTTACAGCATCAAATGGTGAGTATCACGACGATCACTTGATAAAAATGGTTTGTAATTAAGTAAAAAGTAATTTTTTTATTTTTGAGGGCTAGATATTTTATTCTGATGTTTGTGTACTTTTGAAATCTTTCATATAAAACTCCCATTATTTTCAATATTGTGAAATAGTTCACATGCACAGAAGGCTGAAAGAGCTATGACAAAAAGGTATAATGGTCCCATTCAGATTTGTTGAGTGTTGAAATACTATCATTTTTGTTCCACGTAATTCTCTGTATGCTTAATCTGGTTGCATGTTCTGCCATATTCCCCTTCCTTCCATTTTTTTTTTCATATACAAGAGCAATTCTCCTATGCATTTAATTGTAACCCTCATTTTTATAAAGATATATTTTTATTAGAGTTGCAGAGTTACAGACAGAGAGAGGGAGAGACAGAGGTCTTCCATCTGCTCATTCACTCCCCAGATGGGCACAGCAGCCCAGGGCTGGGGCAGGCCAACACCAGGAGCCAGGAGCTTCTTTCGGGTCTCCCATGTAGGTGCAAGGGCCCAAGCATACCCAGGATATCAGCAGGGATTTGGATTGGAAGTCAAGCAACAAGGACTTGAGCCTGTGCCCACATGGCATGCTGGCACCATACATGGAGGTTTAGCCATTAATGCCACAGTGCCAGCCCCCAACCCTCATTATTGACAGTACAGGCATACTTTCAAGATACTGCAGGTTTTGTTCCAGGTGACCATGATACAGTTAATGTCTAAGAAAGTAAGTCACCCAGTTTTTGGTTTCACACTATATGTGAGTCATGTTTGCACTATACTGTAGTCTGTTAAGTGTGTAGTAGCAGTGTATCTTTAAGAAAGCAGTGTATATGCCATAGTTGAAAAATACTCTATTGCTGTAAGTGTTAGCCATCATCTAAGCCTCCAAGCGAGTTGTAATGTTTCTTCTGGTGCAGGGCCTCACCTTGATGCTGGCTCACAGCTGCTGGCTGAACAGGTGATGGGTATTAGAAGGGTGCCTTGACTGTGCTGATTTATTAAACTAAGACATCAGTGAAGTCTGCCACATGCACTTTCTTTTCCTTGCACAGAGCTTCACCACAGCTCTATTTGAATGCATTTTTCCACAGTAGAACTCCTGTGAAAATGAAAACCAGTCCTCTCAATGCCACTGCTTTATCAGCAAAGTTAATGCAATATTCTAGGTTCTTTGTTATCAGCAGTGTCCACAGCTTCCTCATCAGAAGGAGGTTCCATCTCCAGGTAACACTTTGCCTGCCTCACCCATTCGAGTTGGATCGTGAGTTTGCAGCCACCAGTCTTCTCCGCAGGCTCCGCCTCTGGTCCGCCTCTTGTCATTTACACTACGTTCACATTTAATCCTCCACGGAGGTCGGCACCCTCTCACCATCATCTATTTGCCTTGGAATCAGCTTGTGCAGCTTTCCTGTTAATGTGGACACCCTGACCTCCCATGAATCATGGATGCTCTTCATGGGAGCTAGAATGGTGAATTTCTTCGGAAGGTTTGCAGATGACTTTGCTCAGATGCATCCAAGGGATCGCTGTCTATGGCATCCATAGCATTGTAAGATGTGTTTCTTAAATGATAAGACTGGAAAGTCAAAAATTCCTCCTCGATCTGCGGGCTGCAGAATGGGTATGCTGGTAGGCATAAAAAGAGTAATGTCACTGTGCATCTCCACCAGAGCTCTTGAGTGCACTATCCATGAACATATTTTGAAAGGAATCTTTCCTTTTCTCTCAGGAGTAGGTCTCTATGGTGGAGTTAAAATGTGCGGCAAATCTTGTTGGAAGCAGCTGTGCTGTCATCCAGGCTTTGCTGCTGCATTTATAGAGCACAAGGGGAGTAGATTTGGTGTGATGCTTTAGGACTCTAGGATCTGGAGAATGGTCAGTGAGCACAGCTTCAGCTTCAAGTCAGCAGCCGCCTCGGAAGCTTTGGACTTCTCTTCTCCAAAGTCCTAGGTGACATCTTCTCCCAGTTTGAGGCGATTCTGTGAACATCGAGACCTCCTGTTAGTGGAGTCACCTGACCTGTTACCTTAGCCAGATTTTTGGATGACTTCTAGGACCTTCCACATCAGCACTTGCTGCTGCTCCTCGTGCTTTGGTAGCTATGGAGAGGGTTTCTTTCCTGAAGCCTCTTGAACCAACCTCCGCTGTGTTCAGACCTTGCTTCTGCAGCTTCCTCGTGTCTTTCAGCCGTCCTCGCCCTGAGTGGAGTTAGGGCCTTGATCTGCATTAGGGAGTGTTGTGGCTGCATTGACCCCCTGCCCACACCACTGATAGATTCTGCCCTCAGCAGTAGGCTGTTTCTCTTGCTCGTCATTTGTGTCCACTGGAGCAGCACGACCTTGGCCTACATGCTCAGAGCACGGCTGTCCAGCAGAAGAGTCCAGGCTTTTGTCCTCTCTTGTCCTTTAATGTGGCTTTCACACTAAGTCGGACACATTCTAGCTTTTGGTTTACGGTGAGAGACGTGTGATTCTTCTCCTATTTGAACACTTAGGGGCTGCTGCAGAGGTATTAATTGGCCTCATTGCAGTATTGTCGTGTGGGAGCAACCAGGGGCCCAAAGACGAGAAAGATGGGGGAGCGGAGCAGTGAGAACACAATCTGTGGTGAATTCTACATGTTAGATAGGAAATATTTTGAGAAAGAAAAGGTAGTCGACTTTCGTGTGGATTAAAGAGTTACAAACAGCCTTTGGAAAGCAGCTCTGTCCCATAAAGCCACGAGCCTCTTTTCTTCATCAACTAGTTGTCACCAGTGTGTATCTGTCTCCCAAGTGAAAGTGTCTGAGCTTCAAAGAGGCGTGACAGTGACACGTGTTCAGTGGAAGCTGTAATTCAAACTGGATTTTGTTCTCACAGTTGCGGGCGGCAGCAGTAAGTGCAGCTCGTCCCAGCCAGCCCCGAGATCCTGGGTGTACAGCTGATCTACGGTGTGCTGGGATGCCAACACGAAGATAGTACATGGGATTTTTTATATAAAGATTTATTTATTAACTTGAAAGTCAGAGTTAAATAGAGAGAAGGAGAGGCAGAGAGAGAGATATATCTTTCATCTAATGGTTCACTCCACAATTGGGCACAACTGCCAGAGCTGAACCAATCTGAAGCCAGGAGCCAGGAGCTTCTTCCAGTTCTTCCACTTGGGTACAGGAGCCCAAGGACTTGGGTCATCTTCTGCTGCTTTCCTAGCCCACATCAGAAAGCTAGATCAGAAGTAGAGCAGCTGGGACTTGAGCCAGAGCCCATATGGATTGCCAGCACTGCAGGCAGCGGCTTTACCTGCTACACCACAGTGTACACCCATAAATATTTTTTACTTAATGATTTTTTCAACTTGTGATGGGTTTATGGATCCACAGCCCCATTGTAAGCCAAAGAGCATCTCTAGGTTTTGTTGGCTCTCACATTTATTCCTTTCACTGAACATCTCTGTTACATTGACTCATATTTCACAAAGCTAGCAGAATTTTGGGGGAAGGAAGCACCTTAGATGTCAGTCCACCACTCCTCTTAGACAAATGAGGAAATGCTAGCCCAGGAGATGGCTTTATTAATGAAGCTTGGCTTGATACTTCTGGAGTTAGAACGAAAGATGGAAATACAAAGATATTTCAGCTCATCTCTCAGTACATGTTAAGTGTATTCTCTGATGCTGTGGTTTCAAGTTCATGATTTTTATTCACCTGTTTTACTAGTAAAATATGAAATACATAAATTATACCTAAAGTCCAACTTGTTTAAAATACTAGGATTTTTCCAAATGGTTTAAACCACTAATTTTCCCCCAGTGTTGAGTGTTAACAGCCAGGAGAAGAAACAGATTTTTCCCAGCAATGCAAATATGCAAACATCAAATAATGTCATACTCCCTATCAGCAGAGGAAAATACAAAACCACATGACCACCTTGCTGTAAAGAATATTGGCAAAGCCCAACATACTTTCATGATAAACACAATCAACAAACTAGGACTAGAAGAAGGCATTGCAGCCTTATGGAAAGAATTGAAAAACCCACTGCTAACATTATATTAATGATAAAAAGCTGGGTGCTTTCCTCCTGAGCTGAAAAGTAAGATTAGGATTCTTCTGTTACCACATCTATTTAACTTTGGACTAGAGACTATGACCAGGAGGGTAAGTCCAAAAACTAAAGTTTGAATGTACAGACTAGAAGGGAAGATGTGAAATCTGTCTTAGATTACATGCTGTTATATAAGAAAATTCTAATCTGTTCCAACTAATAAGTCAGTGCATCAGGCACACAAGACAGAGTTGAATAATAAAATCATTTCTTTCTATATGCACTTCTGAGGAACAACCTAAAAATGAAATTAAGAAGGCAGTGCCATTTTCTGAGAACTCAAAACTATATCCTGAAAAATGTTGAAAGAATGTGTACTATCTAAAAAGAAAACCAGTTTCATGGATTAGAAGATTCATCATCTTTAAAATGTCTGTACTCCCACTAATGATCCAATAATTCTAAGAGAGTTCTATCAAAATCTGAAAACTCATTTTTAATAAATTGAAAAAAATGCATGTGGAAATGCCTATGGAATTTAAGAAACCCAGAAGACCCAAAGATTTCATGGGGAAAAAAAGATTCACATTTTTCACTTTTAAAACTTATTACAAAGCAATAGTAATTAAAATAGTGTGATACTGGCATAAAGGTGAATATATTGATCAGTGAAACAGAATCAGTATTCCAGAAAAATACCCATGTGCCTCAGGCTAACTGATCTCAAAGAGGGTACTGCTCCAGTTTGGATATTTGTGTTTGTGTTTGAAAGGCAGTGTGTGTCGGGGGGAAATCTGCCATCCATTGGTTCACTCCCAAACGCCTGGATCCTGGACGTGGGTGCAGGGGCCCAACCACTTCGGCTGTCCTCTGCTGCTTTCCCTGGCTATTAGCAGGGGGTTGGATCAGAAGAGGAGCAGCTGGGATTTGAACTGATGCCAGTATGGGATGTGGCAGTGGTTTAACCCACAAGGCCAGCTCCTTTGATAAGGGTTGTCAAAGCCAAACTCCAGTTGAAATTTAATTGCTGATGGTAGTCTTGAGAAGTGACGGCTCCGGTGGAGGACATGTGTGGGCTGGAGGCTCCACCCTCTTGAAGGGAGAAACATAGCTCCAGGTAGACAATGGGTTAGCTGTTTGGAGAGCAGGTGGTTACAAAGTGAGAGTCCGCCTCAATTTCTCTCCTCCACTTTCCCTTCCGTCTGCCATAGGTGATGCAGCAGAAGGCCCCCACCCGATGTGACCACCTGATCTTGGACATCCAGTCCTTCAGGACTGTGAGCTAAGATGAACCTCTTTCCTTTTTAAGTTGCCTGGTCCTCGAGAGTCTGTTACAGCAACAGAAAATATACTAAGAAGAAGGCAGAGGGGAATTACATGGGGGGAAGAAATATCTTTTCAACAAGCGGTGCTGCATGCACCATAGAGCCACATGAAGAGGATTTAAGTTGTCTCCTCGTTCCTAGCATATGCAAATATTAACTCATAGTGGGTCAAAGACTTAAATGTAAGAGCCAAAAGGATGAAATTCTTAGCCAAAAACAAAGGAATGCATCTTTATGACCTTGAATTTGACAGCTGATCCTTGAGGGTGACACCAAAGACGCACATAACAAAAGGAAAAACAGATAAATTAGACTTCATGAAAAGAAAAACCTTTTGTGCTTCAAAAGATACTATCAGGAGAGCGAAAAGTGCCCCCAAATAGGAGAAATATTGGCAAATTATACATCTCATAGGGACTAGAATAAAGCTAATGTATGCAGAACATTATAACCCAAATAATTCAATTTTATAATTAGGCAAAGGAGCTCATTATGTGTTTCTCCCAAGAAGATACACAAATAGGCAGATGAAAAGATTCTTGACACACTTAGGTATCTGGAAATACAAATCAAAACTATAATGAGATAACAATTCAGACTCCTTAAGATGGCTGTAATCAGGGGCTGCCTGCAGTGCCAGCATCCCATATGGGCACCGGTTCAAGTCTCGGCTGTTCCACTTCTGTTCCTGCTCTCTTCTGTGGCCTGAGAAGGCAGTGAAAGATGGCCCGGCCCAAGTGCTTGGGTCCCTGCACCCACGTGGGAGACTCGGAATAATCTGGCTTTGGATCGGCCCAGCTCTAGCCATTATGGCCATTTGAGGAGTGAACCAGTGGATGGAAGACCTGTCTCTCTCTCCTCTCTCCTCTCTCCTCTCTCTCTATCTTCCTCTTTCTAACTGCCTTTCAAATAACAGGTATGGGTGAGAATGTGGAGAAATCAGAACTCTCATAACGTTGAGTTGGAATGTACAATAGTGCAGCAAGTTTGGAAAACACTTAGGCAGTTCCTCAAGTGGCTAAACACAGAGTTAGAATATTATTCAGAAATTCCACTACTACATAAATACCCATGAGAAATAAAAACATACTATCACAGAAACTTGTACATTAATCTTTATAGCAGCATAAAACCCCAAATATGGAAATGGCCCAAACATCCATTGACTGGTAAGTAGATAAACAAAGTGTGGTGGCCATACAGTGGGGGTCCTGCCCCACAGTGAGTAGGAGTACAGCCCTAATACTTGATGCTGTGTACGTGAGCCTTTGACACCACTATGCTGTGTTGCAGGAGGCACATTTGGGAAAGAAAAAAATGAGATGGATGCAGTTTACATAAAGTGTCCAGAACAGGCTCCTCAGTAGATACAGAATATGGACTATTTTTGATGAGAGATGGGGAGCATGACAAGGGCTGGGGAGCAGCTAATGAGTGTGGGTTTCCTTTTGAGGTGATAAAAAATTATAAAATTGACTTTCATGGCAGTCACACATATCTGTGACTGTACAGTTGTTTCACAACTGATGATGAGTTGTCAGTAAGTTCAGTGTAAGCTGAAAATACTGGAAGTTTAAAAAGGCAGTTACTACCAGTGAACCTTCCAACTCTATTATTTCACTCTGCAGTGCACTGTGGGTACTGAATCTACCCATGATTCTGCGCTGACTGGAAGTGCTGCCCAGCTGCTGGAAAGATTATTCTGTCACATTTTAATAGTCCAGGGAGGACCAAAATAAAGAATTTGAAGTGCAGTGTCTAATAAATGTATTTCACATTTGCACCATCATAAAACCAAAACATGATATCAAGTCACCATTAAGTAGGAGACCATCCATAGCAAAAACCACAGTATTGTAAGTGATTGATTTGTAAGTTACGTGAATAAGCTCTTAAGGGGAATCTAATCAAATGTGATTTTCTTACAAGGGCAGAGTAAAGCAAATCAGGTTTGTCTGATAATACTCCGGCTTTAAAATATTACAGAACCCTTAAGTAACTGAGAGCGAGGGCTATTGAATCTGACTGCCTGGATTCCTATTCCAGTTTTACCAGTTATGACTTTATGCAGTGTGCAGAAGTGCTTTCATCTGAAGACGGATGAGATGAAATCGTGCATGTCACAGGTTGTTGTAGAGTTTAAAGGAACTACAAAGTTAGGTGTTGATTACTTGTTAGATTCTGGGTTCTTAAAATTGTTGTTGGCGGCCGGTGCCGTGGCTCACTAGGCAAATCCTCCGCCTTGCGGCGCCGGCACACCAGGTTCTAGTCCAGGTCGGGGCACCGGATTCTGTCCCGGTTGCCCCTCTTCCAGGCCAGCTCTCTGATGTGGCCAGGGAGTGCAGTGGAGGATGGCCCAGGTGCTTGTGCCCTGCACCCCATGGGAGACCAGGATAAGCACCTGGCTCCTGCCATCGGATCAGCACGGTGCGCTGGCCGTAGTGCGCCGGCTGCAGCGGCCATTGGAGGGTGAACCAATGGCAAAAGGAAGACCTTTCTCTCTGTCTCTCCCTCTCTCACTGTCCACTCTGCCTGTAAAAAAAAATTGTTGTTGGCGTTATCTGGGCTTCTGTGTTGTCAGCTGAATACAAGTTCATTTTTCACAGGCAGGATTACCGATACACAGGACGTCTCCAGACGTAGCCCCAATTGTTGAATTGTTAAATATTGTGATGTAGGACACACAGAGCCACAAGGCTGGGAGCTTGAAGCAGCCAGGGTAGGAACCATTGTAGGGGGTGATTTGGTACTGGTGAGGCATTAGCTGGAGCCGAACAAAGTGAATTTCACAACAGGTGGCAGCTGGAGAGGCAGAGCAGGGGGGAATGTGTCATTCCTGGTTCGTAAAGAGACTGGTCTGGGGAAGACGTTGGAAAGAGCAGGCAGCATCTTTGGAAGGGTGGGCTGGGGCCTGCTCTGTGTAAGTTCGGATGTGCAAGTTCACTGGGCTGATAAAGGTATTTTCTTTTAAGTCAAGGTTTCCCGAGTGAAATAGAATTATTTGCTATTACTGCCACCATTAAACAAACAAAAAGTTGTATTTAATAACTGTTTAGTCCAGTAATGGTATTTTTTATTTCTTACTCTGGTAGACGTTTGAAAAGTGCAAAGTCCCTCCTGTAGCTGGAAATGTCGAAGGAAAATTGCACTGGCCATGTTAAAAAGGCAAGCAAGGAATTATTCATCACGATTAATACAGCAGCCAAAGCCATTACATTAAAGTTCAAGGACTGAGCTGAACTACTCTGACAAAGGCCTCAAGTGTTTTAAGTGCCAGGGTGAACCAAGGGGAAAGCACTGGAGGCCAGGCCATGAGTAGAAAGAGTGCCCGGGGGATTAGGGTGTGTTTGCTGACCAGCTTATGGAAGATGGAGCATTAACTTCTCAGCTTTCCTGGCTGATTGCATTGCTAAGGAATGTCTCCTGGGTTCTTAAAGATTGATATCTCAAAGGGCCAATCAAAGAATTTAGAATGGCACATTTTCCAAAGTAAGTGCTCTAAGAGACAGGAGGTGAGGAGCCTGTAGCCAGCAAGAGAACTTGTTTAGATGAATCAAGCTGAGGATAACCTTCAGGATAGGTTGGTCGGAAGCCAGTCGTTTCCAGTGCTTTTCATGTGGAATAAGCCTTTGGGTGCAGACAAGCCTTTGGGAACATAAATGCATGTGTACAGTGCATTGTTTGTAGGACAGAAGTATTCAGCTTACTCAGTATTTATTCCGTATGCATGGTTTAAACCAAGGGAATGTCTCTGTTTTGTTTCTCTTTGGATCTCAACTATTCATTTTTTTCCCTTATCAGAAAGAACTATACCCTGAGGCTTTCTTTCTTCAGGAGTTGTTTTAATCTAGACTGGAGTTTTTTTTTTTTTTTTTTTTTTTTTTGCTATTGCAAGTCCCATTTAACTTTCCATTTTTACTTGAGAAACTGAATGGAGGTTCAGGCTGCTTTTCTGTTGGTAATTGCACAAGTGTGTGAATTGCAGTGGTTTGAATGGTCACACACCTATTTTATTCTCTCTCAGTATCATCTCTGTCCTACACCTTGTAAGCATTTTGGAAATTAACAACTTTGTGGACAACCCAGACAATAATAGTGGTGGTTGTTAAACTTGCAGTTCTGTAGTACCTGAATATTTTTAATTATTTTCATACACATAATCTCACTGTGTTCGCCCAGTCAACACAGTGGTGGTGTTTACTCTAGAGATTTTGTTGTGCAAATGGGGAAACTTGACTCTGGGCCTATGGTTCCTCTGCTTAATGTCTAGATACAGTCCCTGGCTTATTTGTCAGACCTGGATATGCAATCAGATTGAATTTGAAAATCATTATACTAGGCTTTTTTCTCAGCTCTAAATTGGTATATTTCTCAAATATTACACTTACATTTATAATACAGCTTTAGGATGACCTCATAATTTTTGAAACCTGTTGAATCAGTTGGATCTTAAGAACTGAGGCATATGGGGCCAGCGCTGTGGCAGAGCGGGTTATTGCTCTGGCCTGAGGCACTGGCATCCCATGTGGGCACCTGTTCAAGTCCTGGCTACTCTTCTTCCGATCCAGCTTTCTGCTATGGCCTGAAAAGGCGGTAGAAGATGGCCCAAATCCTTGGGCCCCTGCACCCTTGTGGGAAACCTGGAGGAAGTTCCTGGCTCCTGGCTTCAGATTGGCACAGCTTCAGCTGTTGGAACCGATTGGGGAGTGAACCATCAGATGGAAGACCTCTCTCTCTCTGTCTCTACCTCTGTAACTCTGCCTGTCAAATAAATAAATCTTAAAAAAAAAGAACTGAGGCATAAAGATTCTAGCTAAAGGCCCAATATATTTTAAGAAAAAAGATTAGAGTAAGATTAGCCCCTTCCCTGGTACCAGGGACCCATGACACCCGGCCCCTTCCCTGGCACCTGGGACCCAGGACACCCAGCTCCTCCCTAGCACCTGGGACCCCCGACCCCCTCCCTGGCAACAGTGACCCCCGAAGAATGGCCCTTACTGTCACTTGGACTCCTGATGTCCAGCCCCCTCCCTGGCACCCCAGATCCCTGACACCCGGCCCCTTCCCCAATGACCTGCCCCTTCCGTGGTACCCAGGACCCTGGAAGTCTGGCCCCTCCCTGTCACTCAGGACCCCTGACGCCAGGCCTTTACCCTGGTACCTGGGACCCCTGACACCCGGCCCCCTCTCTGTCACTCAGGACCCCAGACACATGCCCCCTCCCTGACACCCTGGGCCCCCGACGCTGGGCTCCCGATCCTGGACACCTGACCCCTTCCTTGACTCCCAGGACCAGTGACTCTGGGCCTCTTCCCTAGCACCTAGGAATTTGGACGCCCAACTCTTCCCTAGCACCTGGGACTTCGAACCCCTCCCTTGCACCCAGAACCTTGATACCTGGCCCCCACCCTGGCACCCTGGACCCCTGATGCCCGGCTCTCTCCTGGCCTCCTCCTTGACACCCTGGATGCCTGAAGCCAGGCCTCCACCCTGGCACCCCGGGCCCCTGATGCCCAGCCCCTACCCTGGAACCCGGAACCCCCAACTCCCTCCTGGGCCCCGGGATCCCCAAAGCCTGGCCCCTTACTTGACACCCAGGATCCTCGACGCCTGGCCCCCTCCCTGGCACCATGGATCCCCGATGCCCAGCTCCCTTCCGGGCCCTGGGATCCAGACACTTGGCCCCCACCTTGACAACAGTGACCGCCGATGTCCGGCCTCCTCCCTGGTACCCAGGACCCCCGACACCTGGCCCCCTCCCTGGCACCTGTGACCCCCGACACCCGGCCCTCCCTGTCACTCGGGACTCCTGACATCCGGCACCCTCCTTGGAACCGCGGATCCCCGACACCCTGCCCCTTCCCCGACGCCCAGCCCCTTCCCTGGTACCAGGACCCCCGATGTCCGGCCCCTCCCTGTCTCTCACGACCCCTGGTGCCAGGCCTCCACTGTGGTACCTGGGACCCCTGACGCTCAGCCACTCTCTGTCACTCGGGACCCCAGCCGCCCAGCCCCCTCCCTAGTACAAGGGACCCCTGATGCCCGGCCCCCTCCCTGGCATCCCGGATCCCTGACACCTGGCCCCTTCCCCGATGCCCAGCTGCTTTCCTGGTACCCAGGACCCACAAAGTCCAGCCCCTCACAGTCACTTGGGACCCCAGCCGCCCGGCCCCCTCCCTGGTACATGGGGCCCCTGACACCCAGCCCCCTCCCTGGCACCTGGGACCCCTGATTCCCGGTTCTGCAGTCACACCTCCGTGCAAAGGAGGCAGCGGCAGTGAAATGAAAGAACACTGGACAAGGAGCAGAAGACCAAGGTCAAGCCCCACCCTGACCTTAGCTGACCAGCCGCATGCTTGAGAAGCTCCCTGCCACCCCCTCTCCTCCTCTGTTCCATCAGCACCTGCTGACATCTGATTCCATCTTCAGCTGGATGCCTTCAGTTCTATGAACTGTCATGTGCCACCTGAGTCTCCAGTAAAAACAAAAACAGTCAACAACAACAACAACAAAAAGAGTGGAACGACAGAAGAAAGACCACGCTGGGGATGCCCTAGGACTTGGCCCAGCTCCAGCTCTGGGGCTTAGCAGGGACCATAATCAGCCACTGTCTGTGCTGCCCCTGGCACTCGGACCCCAGACACCTGGCCCCCTCCCTGGTACCTGGGTCCCCTGATGTCCGGCCCCTTCCCTGGCACCCAGGATCCTGACATCTGGTCCCCTCTCTGGCACCCGGGACCCCCGACGCCTGGCCCTCTCTCTGGCACCCTGGACCCCTGACGCCCAGCCGCTCTCTGGCATCCCAGACCCCCGATGCCTGGCCCCTCTCTGGCACCCTGGACCCCCAGTGCCCGGCCCCTCTCTGGCATCCCGGACCCCCGACGCCCAGCCCCTTTCCTGGTACCTGAGAGCCCCATCGTCCAGCTTCTTCCTGGGCCCCGGGATCCCTAAAGCTTGGCCCCCTCCTTGACACCCGGGACCCCTGACTTCTGGCCTCCTCCCTGGCAACCAGGACCCCAATGCCTGGCTGCTTCCCTGGCACCCAGGACCCTCAATCCCAGCCCCTCCCTAGCACCAGGACCCCACCACCCAACCCCTCCCTGGCACCTGGGACCCCCGACCACCTCCCTGGCAACCGTGACAGCGAATGTCCTGACCCTCCCTGTCACTCGGGACCCCCGGACACCCGGCCTGCATCCATGGTACCTGGGACGCCTGATGCCCGGCCCCTTCCCTGGCACCCATGAACCCGGTGTCGGGCCCCCTCCCTGGCAGCCGGGACCACCGATGCCTGGCTTTCTCCCTGGCACCCCAGATCCCCCAACGCCTGGGCCCCTCTCTGGCATCCCGGACCCCCGACGCCCAGCCCCTTCCCTAGTACCCTGGACCCCCATCGCCTGGCTTCTTCCTGGGCCCCAGGATCCCCAAAGCCTGGCCCCCTCCTTGACACCCAGGACCCCTGCCGCCTGGCCGCCTCCCTGGTACTGCGGATGCTCGATGCCCGTTTACCTCCTGGGCCCTGGGATCCATGACGCCTGGCCCCCTCCTTGACACTTGGGACCCCTGAACCCCGGTCTCCTCCCTGGCACCCTGGATCCCCAATGCCAATCCCTTACCCTGGTACCGGGGAACCCCCTTCTCCTGTCTCACTCCAGGGCCCGGGATCCCCTATGCCTGGCCCTCTCCTTGACTCCCGTGACCCTGGATGTCCGGCCTCTTTCCTGGCACCCAGGATCGCGACACCAGGGCCCCTCCATGGCACCCCGGACCCCTGATGCCCGGCCCCTTCCCTGACACCCAGCCCACTTCCGGGGACCCGTGGACCCTGGACGCCTGGCCCTTCCCTGACACTCGGGATCCCAGATGCCCGACCCCTTCCTTGGCACCCGGGACCCCCGACGACCTCCTTGGCACCCATGACACCCGACTCCCGGCCACTCCCTTTCACTCGGGATCCTAACGTGCAGCCCCTCCCTGGAACCCAGGACACCTAATGCCTGGCCCCCTCCATGGCACCCCAGAACCCCGAGGACCAGGCCCCTCTGTGGCACCCCGGAACCCTGATGCCCAGCCCCTTCCCTGGTACCAGGGACCCCCATCGCCCGGTTCCCTCCTGGAACCTGGGATCCCAGAAGCCTGGCCACCTCCATGACACCCGGGACCCCCAATAACCGGCCTCTTCCCTGCACCCAGGACCCTCGATCCTGGGCCCTCCCTGCACCCAGACCCCAATGCCTGACCCCTCACTGGCACCCAAGACCCCCAACCTCCTCCCTGGCAACCATGACCCCAATGCCCGGCAACTCTGTGTCACTTGGGACCCCAGACAACTGGGCCCCTCCTTGGTACCTGGGACCCCTGACGCCCAGTACCTTCCCTGGCACCCAGGATCCCGACGTCCGGCCCCTTCCCTGGCACCCACGAGCCCCAACACCCAGGCCCCTCTCTGGCACCCCAGACCCTCAATGCCCAACCCCTTCCCTGGTACCTGGGACCCCCATCGCACGACTCCCTCCTGGATCCAGGATCTCTGAATCCTGGCTCCCTCCTTGATGCCCAGGACCCCTGATGCCTGGCCTCTTCCCTGACAACTGGGCCCCCCGACCACCTCCATTTCACCCATGACCCCCAACACCCCGCCCTCCCTGTCACTCGGGACTCCCAAAGCCTGACCCCCTCCTTGACACCCAGGACCCCTGATGCCCGGTTCCTCCTGGGCCCCGGGACCCCTGATGCCTGGCCCCCTCCTTGACACACAGGACCCCTGATGCCAGGCCTCCTCCCTGGCACCCTGGTCCCCAGATGCCCAGCACGTACCCTGGACGTGGAATCCTCACCGCCCGACTCCCTCCGGGGCCCAGGATCCCTAAGGAATGGCCCCCTCCCTGTCACCCTGTACCCTTGACGCCTGGCTCACTCCTGGGCCACGGGATCCCAGATGCCTGGCTCCCTCCTTGACACCGGGAACCCCTGAGGCCCGGCCTCCTCCTGGCACCTGGGACCCTGATGCCCAGCCACTTCCTAGGCACCTGGGACCATGGACGCCCAGCTCCTCTGGGCACCCGGGAACCCCTACACCCTCCCTGGCACCCATGTCCCCCAACCCCCAGCCCTTCCTGTCACTCTGGATTCCCGACGTTTGGCCCCCACCCTGGTAGCCCGGATCCCCGGCACCTGGCCTCTTCCCTGGCACCCAGGACCCCCAGCACCTGGCCTCTTCCCTCAAACCCCGGACCCCAGACACCTGGCCCCTTCCCCGACGCCCAGCACCCTCCTGGGTACACGAGACCCCTGACGCCTGGCCCCTCCCTGGCACCTGGACACCAATGCCTGACACCTCCCTGGCACCTGGGACCCCTGATCACCTCCCTAGCACCCGTGACACCCGATGCCCGGCCCCTATCCATGGTACCTGGAAACCCTGATGCCTGGACCCTTCACAGGGAACCAGGATCTCGAGGTCCGGCCCCTCCTTGGCACCCAGGACCCCCGACGACTGGCCACCTCCTTGGCACCCCAGAATCCTGAGGCCTGGGATCCTCTGTGGCACCCCGGACCCCTGACGCCCAGCCCCTTCCCTGGTACCTGGGACTAGCATTACCCAGCTCCCTCCTGGGCCCCAGAATCCCAGAAACCTGGCCCACTCCTTGACATCTGGGAACCCTGATGCCCTGCCTCTTCCCTGGCACCGGGGACGCTGACACCAGGCCTCTTCCCTGGCACCCGGGACCCTGGATGCCCAGCTCCTCCCTGTCACCCGGGACCCCCTTACAACCTCCCTGGCACCCAAGACCACCAATGCCTGGTCCTTCCTTTCACTCTGGACTCCCGACATCCGGCCTCCACCCTGGCACCCTGGATCTCCGGCACCTGGCCCCTTCCCAATGCCCAGCCCCTTCTCTGGTATCCAGGACCCCCAAAGTCTGGCCCTCCCTGTCACTCAGGACCCCTGATGCCTGGCCTCCTCCCTGGTACCCAGGACCCCTGACGCCCAACACCCTCCTGGGCACCAGATTCCATGATGTCTGGCCCCCTCCTTGACACCCGGATCCCCGGAAGCCTGGCCTCCTCCCTGGAGCCCTGGAGCCCGGATGCACAGCTCCTACCCTGGTAACCAGGATCCCCATCACCCGTCTCCCTCCTGGGCTCCAGGATCCCGGACCCCTATCCCCCTCAATGGCACCATGGACCAGGGACGCCCAGCCCATTCCCCGATGCCCAGCCCCCTCCCACATCCCGGGACCCCCAATGGCCACCCCTCTCTGTCACTTGGGACCCCAGACGCCTGCCCCTCCCTGGTACCCCGGACCCCGATGTCCAGCCTCTTCCCTGGCACCCAGGACCATCAATCTTGGCCCCAACCTGGCACCCGGACCCCAACGCCCGACCCTTCCCTTGCACCCAGGACCCCTGACTACCTCCCTGGCACCAGTGACACCCGACGCCTGGCCTCCCCCTGTCACTTGGGACCCCAGACACCTGGCCCCCATCCATGGTACCTGGGACGCCTGACACCTGGCCCCTTCCCTGACATCCGGGACACCTGACTCCTGGACCCTCCTTGGCACCCCGGACCCCCAAAGCCTGGTATCCTCTGTGGCACCCCGGACCCCCAACGCCCAACCCCTTGCATGGTACCTAGGACCCCCATCGCCTGGCTCCCTCCTGGGCCTCGGGATCCAAGACTCCTGGCCTCCTCCTTGACACCAGGAACCCCTGACGCCCAGCCTCTTCCCTGGCACCCAGGATCCTGATGCCCGGCCACTTTCCTGGCACAGTGGCCCTGGACACCCAGCTCTTCCCTGGCACCCAGGACCCCTATACCCTCCCTAGCACCCATGACCCCCAACGCCCGGCCATTCCTGTCAACGGGACTCCCAATGTCTGACCCCGCCATGGCACTCCGGATCCCCAATACCTGGCCCCTTCCAAGATGCCCAGCCCCTTCCCTGGTACCCAGGACCCCTATCCAGCCACTCCTTGTCACCCTACACTTCTGACGCCCGGCCTCCTCCCTGATACACGGGACCCCTGATGCCTGGCCAGTCTCTGTCACTGGGGACCCAAGCCGCCTGGCCCCCTCCCTGGCACCCTGGATCCCCAACACCCGGCCTCTTCTCCGATGCATAGCTGCTTCCCTGGTACCCAGGACCCCTGATGCCCAGCCCACTCCCAGGCACCCGGGACTCCAGACGCTGAGCCCCTACTCAGACCCTCCTCCTTTGGCCCCTCCCTGTCACTCAGGACCCCTGATACCTTGCCTCCTCCCTGGTACACGGGACCCCTGATGCCTGGCCAGTCTCTGTCACTGGAGACCCAAGCCACCCGGCCCCCTCCCTGGCACCCCAGATCCCCAACACCCGGCCTCTTCTCCGATGCACAGCCGCTTCCCTGGTACCCAGGTCCCCTGATGCCCAGCCCACTCCCAGGCACCCGGGACTCCAGATGCTGAGCCCCTACTCAGACTCTCCTCCTCCGGGCCCTCCCTGTCACTCGGGACCCTTGATACCTGGCCTCCTTCCTGGTACACGGGACCCCTGATGCCTGGCCAGTCTCTGTCACTGGGGACCCAAGCCACCCGGCCCCCTCCCTGGCACCCCGGATCCCCAACACCCGGCCTCTTGCCCGATGCACAGCTGATTCCCTGGTACCCAGGACCCCTGATGCCCGGCCTCCTCCCTGGTACCTGGGACCCCTGATGCCCAGCCCCTCTCTGTCACTCGGGACTCCAGCCGCTCAGCCCCCTCCATGGTACACAGGACCCCTGAAGCCCAGCCCCCTCCCTGGCACCCTGAACCCCTGACACCCAGCTCCCTCCTGGGCCCCGGGATGCCCAAAGCCTGGCCCCCTCCTTGTCACCCTAGACTTCTGACGCCCGGCCTTTCCCTGGCACCATGGGCCCCCGACGCCCAGCCTCTATCCTGGTACCTGGGACCCCCAGGACCCCCAACGTCCTACCCCCTCCTTGGCACCTGGGACCCCCGACACCTGACCCCCTCCCTGTCAGCCCGGATCCTTGAGGCCCGGTACCTTCCGACACCCAGCCCCCTCCCGGGCACCCAGGACCCCCGACACCTGGCCCCCTTCTTGACACCTGTGATCCCGGATGTCCAGCCTCCTGCCTGGAACCTAGGTCCCCTGCTGACCGGCACCCCCGGTTCCCAGGACCCCCAACGTCCTACCCCCACCTTGGCACCAGGGACCCCCAACACCTGACCCCCTTTCTGGCACCCCGGATCCTTGAGGCCCGGTCCCTTCCCTGACACCCAGCCCCCTCCCGGGCACCCAGGACCCCTGACACCTGGGCTCTCCCTGTCACTTGGGACCCCAGACACCCAGCCCCCTCCCTTGCACCCGGACCCCAAACGCCTGACCCTGGGCTGTTTTTTTTTTTTTCTTTCAACATCCAAGTACAAATTTTATTTCACAAAAAATACAACGTGATTCTTCCAAAATGAAAACTGGAACACCTGTGGAGCTTGCACTGCAGCCTTCTTCTAGAGGAGTAGTCAGAGAGGGGGGAAAAAGAACAAAAGGAAAAACTAAGGTGTAAAGATCAATTTCTAAGCAATAAAATCTCAGTATATTGGAGATCTTTATTTAGAGAGAATCCATAACATCTAAAAGTAAAAACTGATAAATGAATTGAATGAGATTTCAGGAAAGATCGATATGTTTAAAATCCACTAGATTACCAAGCACCGGCAAGAAACAAATAGAAGATATTAAAGGTCAGTAGGCAGAGTGGACAACATATATTGACAGGGGGGAAAAAGGCTTCAATTATGTGATGCCTTTAAGCATTCTTCAAATCACTATTAAAACATGATACAAATGGCCCAACAGAAAAATGAGCAGAAATCTGAAGACAAAGAGAAAGCCCCTAAGCCTTGAGCAGAATTTTAACTCACCTGAAGCAGGTGACCGCCAGCTGCAGCCAGGATCCGCCTGCGAGAAGCATGGGGCGACCCCGGGGCGACCCCAGCGGGTGGCAGGTGCACCACGCGGAGAGGAGCCCAGGAGGAGGGCAGGGGGCCGCTTCCCACCTCTCCTGATTCACTCCAAGCACAGACCGGTTAGGGAGCCACGCCTTGAAGAATGCTGATTGGCTGCGTCTTTTGTGACGCTGTGTGCGTCCCCGTCCAATCAGGCTCAGTGATGTCATCACATGGGATCTTGACGTCACAGTGGTCTTAGAGTTCCTCTGTGGAGCGAGGTCCCAGGAGAAGGCTGCGCTGCCTAGAAGCTCTAGAGCCCAGTGGGGGTCTGTGCTCTCCAAGTTCCCCTGCTGGGGGTCGCCAGTCACCTAGGAGCTGAGGACCTCGACATGGTGAGTCCCGATGGAGGGGATAGCAGAACTGCTGGAAGCTGCCTTGGACACCTGACCCTTTCCCTGACACCGGGGACCCCCACGCCCGACCCCTTCCCCTACGCCCAGCCACTTCTCTGGCACCCGGGACCCCGGACGACAGCCCTTCCCTGGAATCCAGGACCCCCTTTGCCTGGCCACAACCTGGTACCTGAGACCCCCATTGCCCGGCTCCCTCCTGGGTCCCGCAATCCCCAAGGCCTGGCCCCCTCTCTGGCACCCAGAACCCCCGACGCCCAGCTCCCTCCTGGGCCCCGGGATCCCTTATGCCTAGCCCCCTCCTTGAAACCCATGACCCTCTACATCCAGCCCCGTCCCTGGCACCTGGACCCCAACGCCCAACCCCTCCCTGGCACCTGGGACCCCTGACCACCTCTCTGGCAACCGTGACACCCGATGGCTGGCACTTCCTTTCACTTGGGACCCCAGACACCCAGCCCCTTCCCTGGTACCAGGGACCCGTGACACCCGGCCCCTTCCCTGGCACCCAGGACCCAGGACACCCAGCTTCTCCCTAGCACCTGGGATCCCCGACCCCCTCCCTGGCAACAGTGACCCACGACGCTTGGCCCTTACTGTCACTTCGGACTCCCGACGTCCTGCCCCCTCCCTGACACCCCAGATCCCAGACACCCGGCCCCTTCCCCAATGCCCTGCCCCTTCCCTGGTACCCAGGACCCAGACCTCTGCCCCCTCCCTGTCACTCAGGACCCCTGACGCCAGGCTTCCACCCTGGTACCCAGGACCCCTGACACCTGGCACCTCTCTGTCACTCGGGACCCCAGATGCCCGGCCCCATCCCTGGCATCCGGGATCCCGAAGCCTGGCCCCCTCCCTGACACCCTGGACCCCCGATGCCGAGCACCCGATCTTGGACGCCTGGCCCCCTCCTTGACTCCCAGGACCAATGAGATGGGCCACTTTCCTAGCACTCAGGAACCCGGATGCCCAGCTCCTCCATGGCACCCGGGACTCTCGAACCCCTCCCTGGCACCCGGGACCCCAACGCCTGGCCTCTCCATGGCACCCAGGACCCTGGACGCCCAGCTCCTCCCTAGCACCAGGGACCCCAACCCCCTCCCTGGCACCAGTGACCTGTGACACCTGGCCTTCCCTGTGACTTGGGACTCCCGACTTCCGGCCCCTCAAAGGCATCCCGGATCCCCAACTCCTGGCCTCTTCCCTGTTGCCCAGCCCCTTCGCTGGTACCCAGGACCCCCTATCCGGCCCCTCTTTGTCACCCTAGACTTCTGACGCCCGGCCTCCAACCTGGTACATGGGACCCCTAATGCCTGGCCAGTCTCTGCCACTGGGGACCCAAGCCACAAGGCCCCCTCCATGGCACCCCGGATCCCCAACACCCGGCCTCTTCCCCGATGCACAGCTGCTTTCCTGGTACTCAGGATCCCTGATGCCCAGACCACTCCCTGGACCAATGACGCCGGGCCACTTCCCTAGCACCCAGGACCCGGATGCCTAGCTCCTCCCTGGCACCCGGGACTCTCGAACTCCTCCCTGGGACTCCAGATGCTGAGCCCCTACTCTATCATACCCTCCTCCCCGGCCCTTCCCTGTCACTCGGGACCCCTAATGCCTGGCCTCCTCCCTGGTACCTGGGACCCCTGATGCCCAGACCCTCTCTGTCACTCCGGACGCCAGTCGCCCAGCCCCCTCCATAGTACACAGGACCCCTGAAGCCCAGCTCCCTCCCTGGCACCCCGAACCCCTGACGCCCAGCTCCCTCCTGGGCCCCGGGATGCCTGAAGCCTGGCCCCCTCCTTGTCACCCTAGACTTCTGACGCCCGGCCTCCTCCCTGGCACCCTGGGCCCCCGACGCCCAGCCCCTACTCTGGTACCTGGGACCCACTTCTCCTGGCACCCTCTGGACCCCAGGATCCCCGACGCCTGGCCCCCTTCTTGACACCTGTGACCCCGGATGTCCAGCCTCCTGCCTGGCACCTAGGTCCTCTGCCGACCGGCCCCTTCCCCGGTTCCCAGGACCCCCAACGTCCTACCCCCACCTTGGTACCTGGGACCCCCGACACCTGACCCCCACCCTGGCACCCCGGATCCTTGAGGTCCGGTCCCTTCCCTGGCACCCAGCCCCCTCCCTGGTACCCGGGATCCCTGACGCCGGCTTCCTCCCTGGCACCCAGTACCCCGACGCCTGGCTTCTCCATGGCACCCAGGACCCTGGACGCCCAGCTCCTCCCTGGCACCGGGATTCCTGACCCCCTCCCTGGCACTGGTGACCCGCAACACCTGGCCTTCCCTGTGACTTGAGACTCCCGACTTCCGGCCCCTCAATGGCACTCCGGATCCCCAACACCTGGCCTCTTCCCTGACTCCCAGCCCCTTCCCTGGTACCCAGGACCCCCTATCCAGCCCCTCCTTGTCACCCTACACTTCTGACGCCCGGCCTCCAACCTGGTACACGGGACCCCTGATGCCTGGCCAGTCTCTGTCACTGGGGACCCAAGCCGCCTGGCCCCCTCCCTGGCACCCTGGATCCCCAACACCCAGCCTCTTCCCCAATGCACAGCTGCTTTCCTGGTACTCAGGATCCCTGATGCCCAGCCCCCTCCCTGGCACATGAGACTCCAGATGCTGAGCCCCTACTCAGACTCTCCTCCTCCGGGCCCTCCCTGTCACCTGGGACCCCTGATGCCTGGCCTCCTCCCTGGTACACGGGACCCTTGACGCCCAGACCCTCTCTGTCACTTGGGACTCCAGCCGCCCAGCCCCCTCCATGGTACACGGGACCCCTGAAGCCCAGCCCCCTCCCTGGCACCCTGAACCCCTGACACCCAGCTCCCTCCTGGGCCCCGGGATGCCCGAAGCCTGGCCCCCTCCTTGTCACCCTAGACTTCTGACGCCCAGCCTCCTTCTGGCACCATGGGCCCCGAACGCCCAGCCCCTACCCTGGTACCTGGGACCCCCTTCTGGCACCCTCTGGGCCCCAGGATCCCCAACGCCTGGCCCCCTTCTTGACACCTGTGACCCCGGATGTCCAGCCTCCTGCCTGGCACCTAGGTCCCCTGCCGACTGGCCCCTTCCCCGATTCCCAGGACCCCCAATGTCCTACCCCCTCCTTGGCACCTGGGACCCCTGACACCTGACCCCCTCTCTGGCATCCCGGATCCTTGAGGCCCGGTCCCTTCCCTGACACCCAGCCCCCTCCCGGGCACCCAGGACCCCCGACACCTGGCCCCTCCCTGTCACTCGGGACCCCAGACGCCCAGCCCCCTCCCTGGCACCCGGGACCCTGAACCTCCTCCCTGGCAACCGTGACCCCCGATGCCTGGCAACTCTGTGTCACTTTGGACCCCAGAAAACCGGGCCCCTCCTTGGTACGTGGGACTCCTGATGCCCAGCACCTTCCCTGTCTCCCGGAATCCCCAATGCCCGGGCCCCTCTCTGGCACCCTGGACCATCAATGCCCAACCCCTTCCCTGGTACCTGGGACCCCCATCACATGACTCCCTCCTGGATCCAGGATACCTGAATCCTGGCTCCCTCCTTGATGCCCGGGACCCCTGATGCCTGGCCTCTTCCCTGGCAACCGGGCCCCCTGACCACCTCCATTACACCCATGACCCCCAACAGCCAGCCCTCCCTGTCACTCGGGACTCCCGATACCTGCCCCCTTCCTTGACACCCGGGATCCCTAATGCCCGGTTCCTCCTGGGCCCCAGGACCCCCGACGCCTGGCCCCCTCCTTGACACCCAGGACCCCTGATGCCAGGCCTCCTCCCTGGCACCCTGGTCCCCAGACGCCCAGCACCTACCCTGTACGTGGAACCCCCACCGCCCGACTCCATCCTGGGCCCAGGATCCCTAAGGAATGGCCCCCTCCCTGTCACCCTGTACCCCTGACGCCTGGCTCACTCCTGGGCCACGGGATCCCAGACGCCTGGCTCCCTCCTTGACACCAGGAACCCCTGAGGCCCGGCCTCCTCCTGGCACCCGGGACCCTGATGCCCAACCACTTCCTAGGCACCTGGGACCATGGACGCCCAGCTCCTCCGGGCACCTGGGAACCCCTACACCCTCCCTGGCACCCATGTCCCCCAACACCCAGCCCTTCCTGTCACTCTGGATTCCCGACGTTTGGCCCCAACCCTGGCAGTCCCGATCCCCAGCACCTGGCCTCTTCCCTGGCACCCAGGACCCCCAGCACCTGGCCTCTTCCCTCAAACCCCGGACCCCAGACACCTGGCCCCTTCCCCGACGCCCAGCAAGCACCCTCCCGGGCACCTGGCCCTCCCTGACGCCTGGCCAAATCCCTGGCAACCCAGACACCCAATGCCCAGCCCCTACCCTGGTAACCAGGGCCCCCATCACCCGGCTCCCTCCTGGGCCCCAGGATCCCCGACCCCTATGCCCCTCAATGGCACCATGGACCACCGATGCCCAGCCCCTTCCACAATGCCCAGCCCCCTCCCGTGCACCTGGGACCCCCAACGCCCGGCCACTCTCTGTCACTTGGGACCCCAGACGCCCACCCCTCCCTGGTACCCAGGTCCCCGACACCCAACCTCTTCCCTGGCACCCAGGACCCTCGATTCCGGCCTCTCCCTGGCACCTAGACACCAACACCTGACACCTCCCTGGCACCCAGGACCCCCGATCACGCCCTGGCACCTGTGACACCTGACGCCCGGTCCCTCCTTGACACTCAGGACCC